TGATTTCCAGTTGATCGAGATTTTGGCTAAATAAAAAAACAAAATATTTTTCACGTTTCTTTTTTTGTTTTTGACAAGCTCTATTGAACATAAAAGCGATTCGAGATATAAAATCATGCAACAATAATATTACACCACAACATACATGAATATTTAAAAGAGAAAGTACCGCATTTGTTGCTTGTTGATTGTATGATGTTATTGGTGAATCAGGTAATGTAGTTTCATTGACTTCATGATCTGATGAAATATTATTATTTCTATTATTAGTATTACCAGCAAATAATGTTCGAGCCCATGAACCAGATTTATTTGATGATGATGATGATGGTGAATTTGGAATATTTAAATTTTCAGTTTTAGTCTAATTAAATAGAAATATTAATTCAAATAAATGATTGTCGATTTCTTTTATAGATAAATGAAAAATATCGAAAATTAGATGCATAATTTCCGACAAGAAAAAAAAATTAATTAATGATTTTTGACGAAGATTTTCTTAGAAATTTTTAAGTATTATTTTTCTAAATGTCAAAATGTCCTTTTATTTTTCTTTTTAGAATATCTGAACATACAAGATGTTGAGCAGCAATAGCTGCTTCTCGGGCTCGACGTTCTTGTTCTTGTTCTTGTTTTTGAATTTCAGCAAAATTTAATGTTTGAATTTGATCATTATTATGTGATGGATGTCGAGCCCAATTTGCTGTTTCTGGTAATTTAAATGTTGATTGCTGTGGTTGAGGTTGTTCTCGAAGTTGTTGTTGTTGATAACGGCGAACATTTTCTGCCCTAAAAAAAAAACAAAAACAAAAATTTAATATGTATAATAATGAAAATAATTTCTTATTTTTTTACTTTTGTGCTTCAATTTTAGCTTGTTGTTCTTTTTGAAATTGAAGTGATTGTTGAAAAGCTAAAAATGGATCAATTTCAACTTTTGATTGTGATTTAATTGGTTGTTGTTGGTGTTGTTGTTGTTGCTTTTTCTGATCCATTGTTTTATTCATTTCTTTCATTGGATCAAATATATTTTGTTTATTAATTGTTGTTTCATTTTTTTTACGTAATTCTTCTTCAAATTTTTGTTTTTGTTCTAATTGACAACGTTCTTCTTCTTCACGTTGTAAACGTAATTGCTCTGTTTGTTGTGCTAATTTTAAACGTTCTAATTCAAGTTCACGTCGTTGTTGTTCAATACGACGTTGTTCTTCAACTTTTTCTTGTTGTTGTTGTCCATGACTTTGCATTGCTTGTGCAAGACGTGTCATTATATCATCTGGTTTTTGAGATTGTGAAATCGATACATTTGTACCAAAAAATGATGTTGTGGCTGATGATGATGATGATGTATTTGGTTGTGATGGAATTTGATGAAATGAATGATGATGTATTTCATCAAATAATGGTTGTTGCTGTTGTTGATTTGTTGCTGATATACTACGTTGTAATTGTGGTTGTTGTTGATAGCCTATTGCAGGATCATTAACTAGATTTGATGAAAAAAGAGATGAAGATGATTGTGAATGCTGTTGTTGTTGTTGAGAAGCAAAATATGCTTGTAATTGAGAATTTATTATTGTTGGAGATGTAACCGGTTTTCGATCAGCTGTTGCTAAAGGCATTGATGTTTGTCTATGAAGAATATTGTGAAATTAGGTTTGTATTTTTTTTTTGCAAACGAGCATAATGGTTAAAAATATTTCAATTATTCTTTTAGGAAATGTGCAGTTTCAGTTTTACTAACCACCACTGACTTAGTATAGTTAGTATACACTGGCATTCGTATTCACTGAAGCATTGAAACATATTGTTACAAAAAACAAAATAAGCATACTTTGATAGAGTTGGTATCTCAATGTAGTCAGTGCCCTCATGAACCCTGTGTCAGTGACTCACTGTTTAGTATTTAAACCAATATTCCACATCCCTAGGTGAAACTTTCAAGATATTTTAAGAGTTATTAAGTCTATGTATAAATAAAACTTTAGATAAAAAATGCAGTAAATCGCTCATAACTTAGCGTCAATGGTCAATATGAATGAATCCTGTTAGGATTTGGCTATTCTGCCCGTGGATTCAATATAAGTTCAAACGACGAATGTCAGCTGGAGTAGTTTCCTCTTGAGTACGTTGTGACATATATGTGCTCCTGTGATTAATTAGTATGTATAAGGAAGCTCAAGCAACTGATCGCAAGAACTCTGCGTTAGGCTGATCTTCTATCTAGAACTATAGCTAGTATTAGTTTTATGGAAGATATCCGGCTAATGAATCAACCACAAGACAAAGATATTATTTTCTATCTATGCAAAAACTTTGAATTTCGCATAATAATACCTATTAAATAATGATGAATGTTGAAGATTTTGTCTTGGCTGTTGCTGTTGTTGCATTAAATACTCATCAATATAAGGATTATTTGCTGTTGATGGTGTTGCATACATCATAGAATTAAATTTTTGTGTTTCCGATACAATTGGTTGTTGTTGTACAGGTGATGGAAGTGTTGAAACATCAGTACGAAATGGTAATCGACCTAATTCTTTTGTTAATTGTTGTATAGTTGAAAATTGTGTTTCACCCAAACGTTTAACTGGTAAAAGTATAGTAAAATAACCAGCTGCAAACCAACGTTCCATATCAGCTGATGAAAATGGACCTTGTACTGTATTTTGTGGATCTTTATAAAACCATTGTTTATCATCAATAATTACAGGTGGTTGTACACGTTGTTGTGAAATAATTGGTACAACAGCAGGTGGAGTTGGTTCTATTGTCATAGGATGAGGAGTTGTATGAATAGATATTGGTGGAGAATAATCATGATCCTTAAAAACAAAAAAACAAAAAAAAAAAAAATCAGATTTTCTAGACGAATAAAAGAAATTTTATACTTCAGCAAGGGTTGATTCAACTACAGTTGTTGCTACATCACTCGGTTCAAATTCATCATCCCATGTTGCAAGAGTATGTTGTACAGGAGGTATTGGTTTAGATTCTAGTATATTTAAAGAAAAGAGATTTAATTAGAAGATTGATGAAGAAAAAGAAATAAAATAATCTACCAAGAATTTCCGATGTTGTTGGAACATTAATAACACTTGTATCTATTGGTGGTGATGCTGGTTTTTCATGTCTATTCTCATCTGATGATTTTAATGATTGCTTAAAAGAGAATATTATTAAATATTAAATGGAAAAAAGATTTTCAATAACTTACAATATTTATATTTGATGATGTGTCATCAGTTGTAGTGTGAGATTTTTGTTGTTGTTCATTATTATCATTATTTTGTCGTTTTGATGATGTACTAGAAAATGGTTCATCTTGTTCAAATGTTCCACTACTCAATTGATTATCACTATCATTATTATCATTCATCCATTCAGGCATTCCTAAATAAAAACAAAAGATGATTTTGTTTTTTAGAATTTAATTTTTATTAATTAAATAAAACTTACGTTCTCGTTTTGCTTGTGGACGACGTGAATTAAGATCACGATCAGACATTGCTGTATTCGATCGCCATCCACGTGTTTGATTTGATTCATAACTATTTGACGGACCTGGTTTTTTTTTTATAAGAAAAAACAATAAAATGAATCTTTTTCAATCTCTAAGATTATTAATTATTTTTATACCAGGTCGATCATCTGTATGACTCCATTTATCATTGGATTTTGTACGATGTTCTATTGATCCACCACCACCGCCTCGTCTTGTTTGTCCACTTCGAGATGTCCAAGAAGTAGAAGTATTTGTAGATGGTGATAAATCTTCACTTTGATCATGATTTTCCTCATCATCACCTCGTGATCGGCGCCATGCTTCTGATGTTTGACGTGGACCACCACCACGTCGAAATGATTGAGATTGTTCACTAAATATAAATTCTCAGATGCTATACAATTTTTTTTAGATGAAATCGGAGTGTATGCCTGTTTCAATGGTACTAATTTTCTAAAGGTTGGTGAATTTCGCAGAAATAACATTTTTCAGAAAAAGAAAAAATTTGAGTTCCATTGGACGTACTGTGTGAGAGAAAACATTGGTTTTTTTTCTTCAACTAAAGTGATTGAAAAGTGGCCATGTTAGAGGTTTATGACTCATGCTCTCAGCATTTTTAGAAATTATTATTATTAGAAGATTTTT